CCTCCTGCAGAAGCTGTTTGAAAATCCCTTACTGTGTATTCAGTCCTTCTTTTATGAACCTACATTTTTGAACCTAACAAGTGGACAGAAGGCCTGGTTTCTACAACAGCCTCGCTCCTGTCACGGTGACCCAGGGCAGCTCTGGCTGCAATGTAGCTGATCACCATCAGCGTATGAATGCGTGTTTATGGGAGATGCCAGGGAATGACTGTAGATTGAAGGACTTTGGAGAGATGCACTCATTTCCACATCATGTGCAGGTGTTTGAGCCTCTATCACGCATAGAAGAAAAGATTTTGGTTGAAACATCACAAAATGTGGAAATGAAGCTTAGAAGCATAATGTACTTATGCTCCTGATGAGAAGCAGGACGTGGGAACACATCAAAGGTAGTGATTCTGTAATTAACATGAACATAAATAGAACAGACTTCGCCTGGAGAAATTTGTTGTTGTTTTTTTGGCTGCAAGGTTATTTATTTCAACATCTAAAACAAGAATGCTGGAAGCTTACAATTGTTTGGTGGGGGTTATAAGAATTTGATGGAGGTTACCTGCATTCTGTGCAGCTTACAAATCAAAATAATCTCTTTAGCTCTGTCAGCTTCATTTTCCTCCCTCTTTATTCAAAGTCACACGTTTCACCTCAGCCTGTCTCCTCATCAGTTCGCTGCCGTGCGTCTGGTGTTTGTTCTTCGCCTTAAAATGCCACCACTCACCTGTCCTTGTGAGAGTTGAGAGCGTTGAGGAGATTGTGACACCGGTCCTGCCTCGGCGTGTCAGAAAGCTGGAGGACGAAGAGGAGTGAGAAGGAATCAAAGCTGTGCTCGCGCAGCTGACAGCGTACACCGACTGCATACCATCATTTTCTGTTTTACAGCCACTGACAGCTGCGTTGCTGATATGAGAAATTAACTGCTGCAGCGACATGGCAGGGGGAGAAAAAAGGACGTTGTTCTGCGGTGACGGAGCAAAGAAAACATTAAAAAAATGCCAGAGATTATAGGAGAAATCTCAAATACATGCAGGAAAAAAAGCCTGAGTGCTTCACTCAAAATGAATCTGGGGTTCTACATTCTGGGCAGCGACACTAATCTTGTGATTTGCAATCTTTGCAGTTATTACTGGTGATATTTTCACACTGAATCAATTCATTGCACAGGGCTCTGATAGCTTTTCAGTTTACCTTCTAACAAAAACTCATTTGTACCTGCTTTACTGTATTATGCCCAGGGGAGGCTGTAAGCATGTCCATCTGAAATCAATCTAATTACCAAAGTAATTCATATTAAAGAGGAGCTGATGCGCTTCTGTTCATTTCCTTCTTTTCTAAGCGGCGGTTACCACAGGAAAAAAATAGCACTACTGTCATTGATTTGGATCAAAATGGTGTATCATTAAAAATGCAACTGAAAGTGGATTTAATAAACTAGTTTAGCTGCTTTAAAGAGAGCTTCAGAACATCCAGCAGGATAAAGGAGGCAAGGACGTCTCCTTCAAAGTGAGCTACAGTATGGAAACCACCAGTGCACAGCTTGCTCCAACACTGTAAAGAACCAACTTTCTTTTTTTGGGGCTGAAAAGAATATTTTCGGTAGTGAAAAACATGAAAAAGTGTTTCTAGTGTTATATGGTGCATTTAGAATGTTATATTTAGTGCAATTTGTTCTGTTATCATTGAGAGGAAACTTGAAAAAACAACATTTATAAATTAATTTAATGAATTACTTGGGCTGCTCAGTGGAGTGCAGTGGGTAGCAGTGCTGCCTTGCAGCAGGAAGGTTCCGGGTTCGATTCCCGGCCCAGGGTCGTTCTGCATGGAGTTCTCCCTGTGCATGCGTGGGTTCTCTCCGGGTACTCCGGCTTCCTCCAACAGCCCAAAACCATGATTTTTAGGTTAATTAGCTTCTCTAAATTCTCCTTAGGTGTGTGTGAACGGTTGTTTGTCCTGTTTTTCTCTGTGTTGCCCTCCGATAGACTGGGGACCTGTCCAGGGTGAACCCCGCCTCTCGCCAGTAGTCGTGGAGATAGGCACCAGGAACCCTTGCGACCCCGATTGGGATAACCGTGACGGAAAATCGATGGATAATTTATTACTTAAACTCTAAAAAAAAAAATGCTATCCAGAAATCAGACTTTAAGAATTAAGTTAAAGTTTTAATTAAGAAAAAAAAATCGAGAATATTTTTATTTTAAGCTTTTCAAATTTTCCTGACAGTATCTTGACAACCCTCCTAACAAAATCTGTTAGCTTAGTTAGCGCTGTTGTTAAAGGGGAGTTCAGACAAACGTAAAGCGGCGCTCTGGGTCACATGACTCAGTCAGTGACGGATCCGGCCCTCTTGATTGACATAGTTTTTGGAAAAGAGCAGCTCACATGGAGCATCACATCCCCAGGTGCTCAATATTGATTTGAAAAATAATTTATTATAGCTCAAATTGAGCTAATACTTGGTTACTTTAAAGTTTATGGAGCCTAGGTGAGGTTCAACTGAAGAAACTGATTCCTCCCCTACATCCACCTGCAACCAATCAGCCTTGAATCACGCCTCCACGAAAATCAATCGGCATCCAAAGTTCATCTTAAAGGAATAGTACACCCAAAACATG